CAGCCCAGCCTGCACCCTCTCCAATCTGGGACCCCTTGAGGGATGTCCGACTGCCCGTTTAGACCCGATCCTATCTAAATGGGCAGTCAGACATCCCTCTCACAATCCAGGCCTGCTGGCTTCCACCTGCTCAACTGCCTGATTGCACCTATCCACTTGTGCCTGCCAGCCTGATTGCCCCTATCTGCCCTCCCCTGCAGGCCTGGTCACCCCTAATTGCCCTCCCCTGCAGGTCTGGTTTCCTCCCAGCTTTCCTCCTCTGTCATCCTGGTTACCCCTAACTGTCCTCCCCTACTGGCCATCTTGTGGCGGTCATCTTGTGTCCACATGGGAGCAGCCATCTTGTGTGTTGGAGTGGTCAATTTGCATATTTTATTAGATAGGATAGAGGCCTGGTACATGGGTGGGGGCTAGCTGGTTTGCTCTGGAGGGTGTCCTGGATCAGGGTGGAGGTTCCCTTGGGGATGGGGTGGCCTGGGTGAGGAGCTTGTGGTGATTTGCAGGTTGGCCACACACCCCCAGCAACCCAAGCGGAGGCCCTGGGATCTGGGATTTATTTATCTTCTATAATTGAAACTTTGTAGCCTTGAGCGGAGGCCAGGGTCAGCCAGGAAGTTTGGCTTCCTCCATTGCTGGGGAAACACAAGCTTCTTGTTGACTTCACGGCCACAGCCATTTTTGTTGGGATTTATTTATCTTCTATAATTGAAACTTTGTAGTCTTGAGTGGAGGCCCAGGCTGGACAGGTTGTGCAGGAAGCTTGGCTTCCTCCATTGCCAGGGAAACCCAAGCCTCCTGCTTGTTCCGTGGAAATTTGCATACTCCTGATTGGCTGGTGGGCGTGGCTTGTGGTTGTGGTAGAGGTACAGTCAATTTGCATATTGCTCTTTTATTAGATATGATACTGTTGTACATTGAACAGCCTGCTTATAACCATAAATTGTAACCTTCTTAAGAGTCATTCCCCAATTCCTTTAATATTCTACTTTGTATATAATGGGAATTACTGCCATCACATGATAAGAAATGATGTAAAGTATCTCCCTGTTTAGAAGATACTGTATCCAGTTATTAATATGTTAGCCTAAATATATTTAAATTTTTGATAAAAGTAAATTCAGTTTTTAAATTTATGGCTGCTCCTGTTAAACTGTTTTATTGTGAATATAATATTTGTATATAGCAGCTCATTGAATAATAAATATTAAATATTAACCTAGAACTTATTTGCAAATTTTTTTTAAAGCAGTGTTCTCAACCTTAGATGTTTTAAAAGGTGACTTGTTAATTTTTAATTCAAACCATCCGTGGTTAAATGTAGTTTGGAATTAATTTTTTAAATGTCTGGTAATTTATGACATTACAAAGAGGTATCTCTCCATTGTGTTAATTTGTTAATTTTGTAAATTTAATATTTTATAAATATACTTGTTCAACTTGAACATAGGTGTGATAATGCATAACTGTATATTTAGGCCCTATATCCTTATTAGGGAATTCTTTTTTTTAATTTTTTTAATATATTTTATTGACTTTGTACAGAGAGGAAGGGAGAGAGAGAGTTAGAAACATCGATGAGAGAGAGTCACCAATCAGCTGCCTCTTGCACACCCCCTACTGGGGATGTGCCCGCAACCAAGGTACATGCCCTTGACCTGAATCGAACCTGGGACCCTTCAGTCTGCAGGCCGACGCTCTATCCACTGAGCCACACCGGTCCTGGCGAGAATTCTTTTTTAAAAAATATATTTTATTGATTTTTTTTTTACAGAGAGGAAGAGAGAGGGATAGAGAGTGAGAATCATCAATCAGCTGCCTCTTGTCCGCTGGGGATGTGCCCACAACTAAGATAACATGCCCTTGACCGGAATCGAACCTGGGACCTTTCAGTCCACAAGCCGACGTTCTATCCACTGAGCCAAACCGGTTTTGGCAGGGGATTCTTTTAAATGTAAGAGAAAAATAAAGAATAATGATACATAGTCCAAGTCAGTTAAACTACTCTTAGGTACTAGACAGTTTGTTAAATCCTTTAGATTAATTACTTGGTTGATTCCTACAACCCTAGAACTATTGCAGATATAATAGTGAATATTTTATTTTGCTTTTTCAATGGGCCAACCTCTGTTGTAAGCTCTTTATATCTATTTATTCTTCACACCAATCTAATCTGATGAGATGTAGATACTGTTATTCTTATTCTAAGGGCAAAGGTAAAAGAAGATATGTAGGGTCGCACAGCTAATATGAGATAGACTGGGGGTCAGGCCCTGGTAGATTTAGGGCCTGCATGCTTAACCACTCTACTGCTTGCTTCTGATTGTAGGAAGATATGGAATAAATATTCTCATTTTAGAGATGGAAAACTGAGGCTTAGAGATATTAAGAAACGTATCCAAGATTATACAGTACAATTGCAGTGACAACTAAGTTTTAGATTTTATGTCTATCTGATTTCAAAAGGAGAAGAATACTCTGTCTAGGAGGATCAGGCAAGCTTAATTTGAAAATGGAGTTTGCTCTAGACCTTGATTGCATTACCATCAACATAAATGTGGGAAACTGGTGCCTGCTGGGAAACACCAAGCAGTCCCCGTATGCAGGGATATAGTAATGGCGAAGTAAAGCTGGAAAGGTTGGTGGAGTAGATCCTGGAGGACTTTGGTGTAGGGCTAAGGCGGTAAGATGTTCTTTAGAATGTGGCAGGATATCATAAACCATTCACTTGGTTTCTTTTGATTTTGTCTCCAGCCAATATTATTGAAAATACACTGCCATTGCTTGTACCTTTAAAGAAGAAAAAAGGCTCTTGCCAGTGTGGCTCAGTTGGTTGGGCGTGATCCTGTGCTCTGAAAGGTGGTTGGTTCAATTCCCGGTAGGGGGCATGCAGGAGGCAGCCAATCAAGGTTCTGATCTTACATTGATGTTTCTCTCCTTCACCCTCTCCCTCCCTCTCTAAAAATCAATAAAAAGTATTTAAAAAAAAAAAAAAGATACAAATGTTGGCATCTAGTTTTGACACTTAAAAAATAATCTATTAGTTCAAGTGAAAAATGCAGGTTGCCTAATCTTCACTTAGTTTTTCACTATACCCCAAGCTTCCTGAGGCCAAGAATTATACAGCAGTTAATTTGATATACCATACACAACTCAGAATAAGGTGTTACTGAAGTTTTTGGGGTGGCTAGGTAGGGTCAGAAAGTTGCCCTAAAATTCAACTAATATGCTGAAACCGGTTTGGCTCAATGGATAGATCGTCGGCTTGGGGACAGAAAGGTCCCGTGTTCGATTCCGGTCAAGGGCATGTACCTTGGTTGCGGGCATATCCCCAGTAGGGGGTGTGCAAGAGGCAGCTGATTGGTGACTCTCTCTCATCAATGTTTCTAACTCTCTGTCTCTCTCCCTTCCTCTCTGTACAAATATATTTTTTTAAAAATTCAAGTAATATGGCATGAGGTTATTTTTATTTATGTATTTACTTAAATATGTTTTTATTGTTTTCAGAGAGGAAGGGAGAAGTAGAGAGAGATAGAAACATCAATGATGAGAGAGAATCATTGATGGGCTGCCTCCTGTACGCTGCCTACAGGGGATCAAGCCTGCAACCCAGGCATGTGCCCTTGACCAGAATCTAACCTGGTACCCTTCAGTCCACAGACCAACAATATCCACTGAGCCAAACAAGCTATGGCCATCAGGTTATTTTTAAAGAAGAATTATGAAATTAATTTAATTGAAGAAATTAAAGTTGAAATCATTTAAAATACCTTAAAAAAACAAAAAAAACCCCACCACAGTTGACATGGTAATGTGGATTTGTAAAGGTATATTTGATATTCTCCCTGAAGAGCAAATCCCTGAAGGTAGAATTTAGAGCATATTTATTGAGGGCAACCTGGTTCATCAGAATTGTTAAGACCTCGAGAACTGATGAACGAAATTAAGTTTATTTACTGTGTTTTTCATTACTTCTATTTCATCATTGGCTCAGAAAACAAAATATGTCTTTAGGGCAAAATATAGCGCTATACAATATAATTCTAAACACTATGAGACAAGGAAACTTTATGCCTTGTTTTTCTGAGTTACAGAAAGCATTTAGAGAGAGTATTTTCTTGTTAAGAATTTCTTTCAAAATGCGAAAAATAAAGAATACCCATTCTCTTCTCTCTCTTCCCTCCCCCCCCCCATGAAAGAGAAGGTTAAGGGACTGCCTGGCTAAAGGATCCAGACAGTCTCGACTGCCTGCCTCCTCAGGCTTTGGAAAAAGAATTTTTTTGTTAAATGCTTCGTTTATCCTTATACTTGTCCTTTATCCCAGTTTTTCTGCCACACCATATGAAATGTTTTAAGAGTGCTTCCTGTTAAGTTTTATTTTTAAGGGAAATTCATTGGCTCAATATAAATGCTGAATTTCATGTTATTTCCACCAGTATTTCTTAAACTTCGCGGTTTGAGTGTCTTTGCTTAAAATAGTTCCTGTTGGTATATGGGACAAAAGAACTTACCTACTCTTTTATTCTATCCTACTGAAATTTATAACGTGTTATCAAAACCTAATCTTTCAAAGCCAAATGGCACAAAAAATGTTATTAACAAATATATTTCAAATATATTTTTTCTTGTCTTCTTTGAGAAAGTGACTGACTTAATGATATTTGATTTACTATGAGTGGCATAGAAAAAATGTTTTGTTACTAAAACCACATGTTCTTCCATTGGACTTTTTTTTTCTTACAGGAAATGCTTTGGTTTCTAGTCAGCAAGAAAGGGAAAAGGGAAGGCCTGTTCTCAAGTTTTAGCTAATTTTCAATCTAATATTAAGAAATTAGACATAATACTTTGTCATAGTCATCTATATAATTCTGTGCAAATGAAAGATAGATAAAATTATTAGAAAACAACCACCTCCTCCTCAAAAAACAAAACAAAAACTTAAAGTTTCATTTGTAGAAAAAAAGCTTATTTTCTATCATTCTTTCATGTTTTTATTTCCCTAGCCCTAGAAAGTTTGGGCTTTGGCTCTTACATCAGTGAAGTAAAAGAAGTTTTACAAGAGTGCAAGACTGTAGCATTAAAAAGAAGAAAAGCCAGCTCTCGTTTGGAAAACCTTGGCATTCCTGAAGAAGAGTTATTGAGACAGCAACAGGAATTGTTTGCAAAAGTAAGTAATTCATTTTAAATTATTGTCATCTGAATCCTATGCTGTTTACAAATAAAAATCAGACTGGTTTCTGAAATAATTTCCTAAATCAACTTACCTTGCAGGATTTTCTTTCTGTGGCTGAATACTTAATCATGGAGTCTGATATTTGTGGCCAGTTATTTATAATACTTCATGTAAAAGTAAATATTTGCAGCAACCTGTTTTCTAAAGAGAACAACTCTAAATAACTACTAAGATTTTACTCTGATTTTTTTTCCAGAGAGAATGACTTTTCAAACCATGAAAAGTAGACCTAAACATTTTTAAGATTTAAAATGATGGGCTGAAAATAAAAAAATAAAAATGAATAGATAAAATAATGGGCTGATGAGAAAATACTCTTTTTAAAATTTATGGTGAATGGCATATAAAGAAAATGTGATTAATATCTACTTTGCACTTAAATTAGATCTTTAAAATATATTTAAAACATTCTAATCTTTAAAAATTTTTGAAGTGTGTCAATGGAGCAGAAAAAGGAAGAAAATTTCTCTTGCTTGTTACAGGTCTAATACCTAGACTGTGAAGGATGAGCAACCAAATACTAATATTTTTTTAAAAGAAAGGGAGAAGGTTGGGCTGTTTTTTTTCCCTACTAAGATCTGGCCTCTCATTTGAAATTGTAAGGAAGTTTGGGGTTGAATAGATTTCCTACCAGTTACTGTAGTTACCATTGGAATTGGGAAGTATTATTTTAGGTAAGCTATTCCAGGTAAGTACCATAGCTGATCTCGTTGCAGTCATAACAACCAACTTGGTTTATACCAAAAGCATTTGAATCTTAAGTGTTATCAGGCACTAGACACCAGTCAGCATTTAAACCAGTGATTCCCAACCTTTTTTTGGCCATGCCCCAGCTAAGCATCTCTAAAATCCTGATGCACTCCCCCTGCCCCCCGTGACATATAATTCTTATTCAAAAAGTGAACTCCTATCCATGTGGAGGAAGCCTAAAGGCCATTAACTTGGTCTAAACAAGCTTCTAAAGAACATGGCACAAAAGTAAGAGTGAAAGGACAGTTGAAGTACTGAGGAAGAAATCACTAAGAAATTGTTTTGTTTTGTTTTTTAAATCCTATCTAATAAAGAGAGGGACTATGCTAATTGATTGTCATGCCCTCACAAAGATGGTGACACCCACAGCCAATAAAGAGGGAATATGCTAATTGACTGCCCGCCTAATCCAGCTTCAGTCCCGCAATACCCTCAACCCTGCAGGGGAAGGCAGTTTGTGGCAATCAGGCCAGCAGGGAAAGGCATTTGGAGATGATTGAGCCAGCAGGGGAGGGCAGTTGGAGACAATCATGCTGGCAGGGGAGTGGTTATGTGTCAATCAGCCTGGCAGGCAGAGTGGTTAGGGGCAATAAAGCAGCCGAACGGTTTAGAACCTGCAGTCCGGATTGTGAGAGGAATGTCTGACTGCTGGCAGTCGGAAATCCCCCCAGGGTCCCAGAGAGGGTGCAGGCTGGGCTGAGGGACACTTCCCCCACGTGCACAAATTTTGTGCACTGGGCCTCTTGTATATATATGAAAAAATAGCAAATAAAGTTTTAAAATACAGAGAACTGAAATGCATAAATATGTCACAATATGTATTTATATTCTGTACTAGAGGCCCAGTGCACAAAATTCATGTACAGGCGGGTGGGGGAGGGGTGTTCCTCAGCCTGGCCTGCACCCTCTCCAATCTGGGATCCCTCTCATAATCTGGGATTGCTGGTTCCTAACCTCTTGCCTGCTTGCCTGTCTGATTGGCCCTAACTACTTCTGCCTGCCAACCTGATCTTCCCCTAACCGCTCCCCTGCCCGCTCGATCGCCCATAACTGCCCTCCCCTGCCAGGACCTGCCTCCTTTGTGCCACATGGAACCTCAAAACCCCCAGACCTCACTGCACAGGGAAGCCATTGGGCCGCGCTTCTGCTGTGCATATGGCCATCTTATAGCAGCTATCTTGTGATGACATCATACACAAGGGTACCTAAACTTTTATTAAAATAGATTAGTATAGATATGAGGCCCCTAGAACCATAAGAAATTCACTGTTAATAACTCATTCTACAGTTGACCTCCCTTAAATATCAAATTGCCCTCCTGTAGGGGGTGTGCCCCATGTTAGGAACCACTGATTTAAACTAATAAAAGAATAAAAGCTTACTACATATTCATTGAGTTCTAACCATGTGTTAATCATATTGACAAGTAATTTAACTGTATTTATTTAATCCTCAGAACAACCTGTAGTATGTAAAGATTTTACCATGGTTTCTTACATACCATTATATTGGTAAAATCTATAAGTACTAACGTGGACAAGCCTTTGAGGCAGGTGTGAACACAAATAGTATTATAATCCATATGAATGTAAGGTAACAAAGAAGGAGTAATGATTAAAAAAAACAAAAAACATTAGCCAGAGCTTGGTGGCTTAGTTGGCTGGATCATCATCCTGTGCACTAAAAGCTGACAGGTTTGATTCCCAGTCAGAGCACAAACCTATGTTTCGGGTTCAATCCCCAGATGGGACGAGTTCGGGAGGAAACCAGTCAGTGTTTCTCTTGCACATTGATGTTTCTCTCTTTCTCTTTCTCTACTCTTTCCTCTTACTCTAGAACCATGGTCGGCAAACTGAGGCTCGTGAGCCACGTGTAGCTTTTTGGCCCCTTGAGTGTGGCTCTTCCACAAAATACCTGGGCGAGGCTATTTGAAGAAGTGGCGTTAGAAGAAGTTTAAGTTTAAAAATTTGGCTCTCAAAAGAAATTTCAATCGTTGTACTGACTAATTTGGCTCTGTTGACTAATGAGTTTGCTGACCACTGCTCTAGAATAAATGAGTTAATTGTTAATAGAAAATTTTAATAAAAATTAATATTTTTTCTTGGCCATTACCTTATCAGACACTGAATAACTGCCCAAATTAATAAGTGTAATGCAAATAAATAAACATTTTTGTTGTTGTTGTTCTCCGAAAGCAAAATATTTTCTGTTGCACACACAAAATAAGTCAGTACAAAACTAATGACGTGGCAGTCAGCTGCTAAAATAAATATTCACTGCTAGTATTAGTGGAGTGAATTGGTGTGCCTGCATGTAAGGTGCATAAGGGAAATGAATGCAGTACAATTATTGTAATCATCCATTAGCGAATGTTGTTATTTGTTATTAATAATTATGTATAGCAGGATATTGTAAAAGTTAAGTTACAAAATTTTTATTAAAACGTTTCTTACATACCGTTATACTGGCTGGGCCACAAAAATATTTGTTTTCTGATGGTCATCACTTATATTTTATGTTAGCAATTGTCAACCCGTGCATCACAATCCATAGGTTGAGAACCACTGAGACCACTGGAAAACACTGATGTTTACATTACGATTCATTAACAGTAGCAAAATTACAGTTATAAAGTAGCAACGAAAATAATTTTATGATTGGGGTCACCACAACATGAGGAACTGTATTAAAGGGTCGTGGCATTAGAAAGGTTGAGAACCACTGAAGGGTGCCAAATTAAATATTTCATGAAAGGAAAAACATGCTCTGCTAGACACTTTACATACTTGGCAGAGTTTTATGTATAATATAAATGTTATTATGTCCATTTATACATTAAGAAACAGACTCAGAGATGGAGAAACTTGCATGAAATTATTCATTTGTTCTGCAGATATTTACTAACGACCTTACTATTTACCAGGCATAGAACTAGGTGCTAGTCTAATACCAGTATACAAAAAAATACATAGTTTCTGTCATGGAGTTTAGTTTATTAGGAAGGATTGAGTTAAAGAAAACCAGTAAGTTCATACAATTAGAAAGTATTGGAATCTCAATTAAAATTCATATCTTCTGAATTTAAAACCTGTGTTCTTTCTATAATACCATGTTAATAGTTTACCCATCTTTTAGTTTACTTAAATTTATTTTGAAAAATATTTTTAAAATATATTTTATTGATTTTTTCACAGAGAGGAAGAGAGAGAGAGAAAGAGTTAGAAACATCATCAATGAGAGAGAAACATTGATCAGCTGCCTCCTGCACACCCCCCACCAGGGATATGCCCACAACCAAGGTACATGCCTTTGACTGGAATCAAACCTGGAACCCTTGAGTCTGCAGGCCGATGCTCTATCCATTGAGCCAAATTGGTTTTGGCTGTTTTGAAATTTTTAAGTGGAATATGCTTTATCCTTTCCAGGAAAAAATATGAATGAAAGAAATAATTGACTGCCTGTCATATCTGTCTTCACCTCCCTCTCCTTGTCATCTGTTTTTCATTTCCCCTTCCTTATCACCTTTTTGTTGCCCTGATATATGGGTGAAGATTCTTTGCTCTAATGAGGAAAATTAGCAGAGGTAAAATTATAGCAGCTACCCAGTACTTCTTCCTCAGAGTATAAAGTTCTTAAGTTCTAAATCTGAAAGGAGCTGATAAATAAATACAGCTTCTTTTTCATCACTTATATTTTACTTCATCTTTTGACTTTATTTGAAATACATAAAGCCTCATTTTAAGCTGTCTTTTACTACTAGTAGCAAATATTTGGAAAAGGGGAAACATTAAAAGTCAAGATTAGTATGTGAGAGTGAGAATCTCAAAACATAATGACAGTTTCCAAAAGAAGAAATTAATTTGGAAGTATATGCCTACTAAACCTCTTTCACCCTCCCATTTTACGATGATAATAGTTGGGATGGATTGGATAAGAGGCAAGAAGGTAAAAGGAAATTAGAATACCATTGGAAATTTTAATTTGTAGAAATGAATACAAATAAAATTTATCAATAATAATTTTAAAGGCATCGGACTGCTTTTATGTTTAGGGAGAAATGTATGGGAGCTGATATGAGAGCATGATACCTCTTATCAGTTAAATTTTTAGTATAACCAGTACATGTCTTTACAGAAATTGAATAAACTTTGAGACCATAAACCTTTGCAATAAAAACCTGTGTAGAGACTTGATAATATTTGAGTTTTTCAATGCTATGAAATTATACATATTTGTAGTTAATTAGGCTATACAGAGCATTCTTGGAAGTTGATAAATTCACACATTTGTTTTGCCCTACAATTTTCTTACGAATTTTTAAAATGTTTTTTGTGAAGCACTCTTAGTCTATTTTGAATTCTGAGTATTCCTGTTATAAAAGTAAATATGCCTGTGTGTTAGAATACCTATTTTCCATATTCACAAAAATGGGAAAAGTAGTTATTAGTATACCTGGTTTGTAATTTCCTTCACTAACAACTGTATGTGAGGCTGACCACTCATGAGGAAGATAGAGATCCCAGGTACAGAGATGTCATATTCAGTTTTGGTGGTGTGCGAGTTTGAAAGTTGTCTCAGACTGAAACCACCCTTTCTATGCTCTGTGACAGGACTTAGTGCTCTACAAACCATATTTCTGCTTTTCTAGCTGACTACTATTAGACTCTAAATGCCAGCAGGGAGATTGCTAGGCTGGAGGAGGAGGGCAGCTCTTGGGCTTTGTTCTTTTACTTCCTATTAATTTCGAGTTTCTTTCTACAACCTAGCACTGCTGCTTCATTCTGGCTACATCAGTTTTTCCCTGTAGCACAAATTGGATCTAGTTTGCTGGGTTTCTAATTCTTAAATAACTAGCCTGCATATTCATCTCTTTCATCAAGGATGTGAGTCTCAAACTTTGGAGCCCTCCTCTAATCAATGCCCCTTCTTCAGGGATCTGAACTTCACTTCCATGGGTTGCTCCTCTAAGCTGCCAAGTTTTAAAAATTCCAACCTTTTTCCTTTTCCTCCTCATTTTAAGGTTGATGACTGCTCTCTAAGTTGCCAACTACATGATACTTTAGTGGGTGTTTTTCTTGCCTTTTCACTTACCTAGTAACCAACCTTATACTTGGTTAATAATCCTTCATGTTACATTATTTCTGTTTTCCTAAGTAGTGTTACTTTTATCTCCTGATTGGATCCTGAATGATACTGGAGGAATAGGAAAAAACCTAGTGGAAAATAGTATTTTGGTTTGACTTGAAGGAAGAGTGGAATTTTAGGTGAAAATCAAATTTCAAATAGAATGAATGTCAGCATGAGTAAAGATAGTGAAAATGTGAGGGATGGTGTATGTTTTTGAAACATGTACTAAGCTTGTTTTTTGTTTTGTTTTTGAGTACAAGGTGCATGTTACAAAAAAGGATTAGAGTGATAGATTGGGTCATGCAGTAATTTGGAGGACCTTGAACTACAGGCTGAGAAACTTGGACTTAAATAGTAACAATTAAATGATTTTTAAAAGTATAACAATGAACTGATTAGAATTCTACTTTAGAAATATTTGGATAATAAGTTCATGACAGATTATTGAGTAAAGTTAGAAATGTAGAGGTTATATTGGTCATCATTGTTTTCCCACAAAACATTCACATTACCACCCTAGCAAGTTTGACTCCGTAGATAGAACATTGGCCTGCAGACTAAAGGGTTATCCTGCATTCAGTTCCAGTCAAGGGTACATACCTTGGTTGCAGGCTCCTCCCCAGCCCGGGCCCTGGTCAGTGTGCATTCAGGAGGAATCAGTAAAGTCTTTATTCTAAAGTGTAGTGAAGAAAATAGATATTTGCTTGGGTAATTAGAGAACAAAGTATGGAAATGCAAAGAGAATTATGGCATATGAAAGAGAGGACAAAATATGATCTAGAAGGTCAAGAAAGACCAACTGATTTGTGTTTTAAATGATGACTAGGAATTAGCCATGTGTAAGAAGGCTATGAGCCAGGCTTAAGAAACAATTATGAGAAAAGTCATATAGGGAGAAATAACATTTTGTTTGGTAGCATTTAATGGGAAATTATATGTTCTTTTCAATAACATTTTCCCCCTTCTTCATGTGGTTTTCTGCTAATGGATAAAACTAAATTGGAAAGGAGCCTTAGCTGTTGGCAACAGGGCATGTGTTGCATATACATCGTGGTTTCTAAAATCGTGTGGTTTTTATAGAGTATAGATATGTCAAATGGATAGATTTTAACTATCCCGTCGTTGTTGTTGTTCTTGTTGTTAACCGTCATCCGAGGATATTTTCCTATTGATTATAGGGAGAGTGGAAGAGAGGAAAAGACAGAGAGAAACATCGATGGGAGAGAAATGCATCAATCGGTTGCCTCCTGCATGAGCCTCAACCAGGGCCAGGGTCAGAGAGGAGCCTGCAACCGAGGCACATGTCGTTGACCGGAATCAAACCTGGGTCCCTTTGGCCCGCAGGCTGGCTCTATTCACTGAGCCAAACTGGCTATCCCATTTAAATTGAGTTCTTGGTAAGTATTTTTCACAGTGGGAAGGGTGTGAGTATATATTTTGTGTATGTAGTGTGTGTGCTTGTGTATATTCATAGAGGAAGGAGAGGAACAGAAAAAGAGATGCATATATATAGCCGGGATCGGTTTGGCTCAATGGATAGAGCGTCGGCCTGCAGACTGAAAGGTCCCGGGTTCGATTCCGGTCAAGGGCATGTACCTTGGTTGCGGGGCACATACCCAGTGTGGGGTGTGCGGGAGGCAGCTGGTCGGTGTTTCTCTCTCATCGACATTTCTAACTCTGTCCCTCTCAATTCCTCTCTGTGTAAAATCAATAAAATATATTTTAAAAAAGAGATGCATATATAGAGAGATGTATTTATCACTAACTGTGATAGAAATTCAAAAGAAATATCAAGATAGCTATTGCATTCATGTATAGTACTCTTCCCCAATAGTAGAGAGCTTTTAAACTAAAGAAAGAAAATTGTGGATTACAAAATATTTACATTAAAATGGTAAATTGAGCCCAGCCAGCATGGCTCAGTGGTTGAGTATTGACCTATGAACCAAGCGGTCACGGTTCAATTCCCAGTCAGAGCATGTGCCCGGATTGTGGGCTCGATCCTCAGTATGGTGCGTGCAGGAGGCAGGCAATCAGTGACTCTCTCTCAGCATTGATGTTTCTGTGTCTCTCTCCCTCTCCATTCCTCTCTGAAATCAATAAAAAAAAAATTTTTTTTTTAAATTGTGAGTTGAAAGGACAGAAGAATCAAGTGAAACAAAAGAAAAAGAGAAATACAGATAAAAGAACCAAAGAGAGAATATTGTGATTTTCCTGTCTATATTTTCAGCTTCTTCAATTGAACCAAAGCATAAATTACATGGCATAGAGGGGGACTATCTATAAGAGAACCAATCTCAAAGAGTTCCTTTTCTCCAGATGTACAACAGTTATATAGTTGTTGGGAAATATTCAAATTTGATAATGACTAAGTTTGCAATTAACTAAAGTGTGTATTGTATGGGTTTTTAAAAAATTACCTGTTCATATGTTTTTTTGTGTTTAGGCTAGACAGCAACAAGCAGAACTGGCCCAGCAGGAATGGCTTCAAATGCAGCAAGCTGCCCAACAAGCACAGCTTGCTGCTGCCTCAGCCAGTGCATCTAACCAGGCAGGATCTTCTCAGGATGAAGATGATGATGATGATATCTGAAATTCACCAGCTGAGGTTCTGTTTCCTCTGCACAAGAAAACAGTGAAAGAAATGCTTATCTGTAATTTTGTATGCATCTTGATGGACTTGCCACTGGTACCCTAGGGATGTCTGCTGTTGATTTTCATCTATTGTGTGCTATCCATGTGAAAACTGTCTCTTTGAACAATTGAAAATTTCAGGTTCAGTATAATATCAATTTTGAATTTTTAATGGTGTTTATGAGATTTTAGATAGCAGTGAGTCCTTTATTGATCAATAAACAGTGTTACAGAAAACTCCAACTTTATAAAAATACAGTGAAATTTATACAGAAACTCTAAATCTGTATTTTCATTTCCTCTGCCCTTTTAACTAAACTAAAAATTGGGAATATTAAATTATTGGGGGAGGGGGTGCTGTGTAATACAGTAGGCATTAGACCAGATTGGTTAAAAAGAACGAATTCATTTCTGTAGTATGTGTTTTTTTGTCTTTTAAAATGAGTATATATATATATAGGCTACATATATAAATGTGTGTGTGCATGTATATATCTATGTATACGCACACACATATATATACTCAGATAAATATACTTATTTGAAAGAATTTCAAAATAAAACTAGGAAGGGTATATTCCATAGTAGTGTAAAAATTTGGTGGGTCATGTTTTTTATTTTGTTTTTGTTTTATGTAGAGGTAAAATCTAAGGTTTTATTATGGCATAATTCATCTTAAGCTACACTATTACATTTCAAAGACTGCCCAATTTTGAGGACTGTCATGATTCTTACTATTTCACTCCATTAATTGTCAGTAGTATTATTCGCTTAGTCCATCCATGTTTATTGGAACTTGTGAAATAATTGCTTAAGTTCTGTTGGTTTAACTGAGGTTAATGAGTATTCAAACCTTTACTGGGGGAAAGAAAAGTTAATGAGCATGCTTGCTGTAAAGAGGATTTTTTGTTGTGTTGTTTTTTGTTTTTTGTTTTTGTAATTTAACTTATAGTTATTGTTTGTTTTTCACATTACTCTTAAATTTTTTTTACTAGATGGCCTACAGTGTCTAATGCTTCCTTTTGAAATGACATCATCTCCATCTTAGAGTGATAACTTTAAAAATGGATTTGTTTTAAAAAGCTTGTCATAACTAATCAGCCCTATATGAAACATAAAAAGTAGTTTCAACTTGCTCATTTAAAGGGAGGAATCTTTCATTTGGTTCTCATAAATAAAGTATGGCAGTGATTTATATAGGAATCCATTGTGTTGAAGAAATGGCATTTTGTTTGTATTTTGGAAACAATGGAAAAGGCCGTTTAAGATTGTATGAGGTAATCTAAATTCCTTTGTCAATTGCCAAACTATTTAAATTTCTATATTCACCAAGCCCAAGGATAATTTGTGGCTGTCCGGATTTCAATTTTAATTGGAGAGCTAAATAACGTTTACAAGTATTAGATTTCTTAATGATCATATTTTGCACTTTTAGGAAAAGTGAAATATTGTTATACATTTATTAAATACACTTCTCTATGCCACAAAAAGGTTAATTTTGCAGAATGTTTTAAGTTGAAGTTGACATTGTATCTATGACGTGCTTTGGACAACATAGAAGGGATTGTGTGTTTTTTTAAAGTTTAAGTACCAAAGGTAGTCTGGTCTAAGACACAGTAAGTTAATAAGTGTTGGCTTTTCTAATTTGTACTGTAACATCCTTATACTTGCTATTTTAAGTACTTGTTTCTTAAGTAAACAACTTAGATATTTTTCCACATCTTTTTTTTTTCTGATGCAGAGTTCAGGTTAATTAAATATTTTACTGCATCTGATAATGTATTATATGTTTGAAACCTAGTGATTTTGCATTTGGACATTCTTGTGATTTCATATGCTGTATTCTTCAAGCAATAAAATTCTGATGTGTTTTATAAATTGTTTTTATATTTAATGATCTATACAGACTAATGACAGATTTCTGTTACTAACATTTTTACTAGTTTCACAAATCTTAGACCCAAAACACATTTTGATCATTAAGTATGTAGTACCTGACTTTCTCCTTTGTTTACCGTTATTTAAGAAAATGTGATTTTACTGTTATTTTTGTAATTTACAGCCCTACGGTCTAGATATCAAAAGTTAAAGTTAAGTAAGCATTGTTTTACTTTTAGCTTTTTTTTTTTTTACATTTAAAAGTCACAATTTTGTCTGTTAATACTTTAATCTTTAGAGAGAGAGAAACATCTTTAGTATTCTTGAGAAATAAAGTTATTCTCTAGTAAGTGTTGGCCCCGTTTCCTTGAATATAAATCTTGTTGGTTTTTTCCCCAGAAGATTATCAGATTGTTAAATGTTGAAAAGGTACTAATTTTAAAACTGAACATACCATAAATATAAAGGAATATGTAAGTAAGGTTTTTCATAAATTAAGCATATTCTTTCCACTCAGCCCAAGACAACAGCACATTATGAGCATCCAAGAACCTTCCTCTTGCTCCTATCTTTTTTTTTTTTTTTTTTTTTTTTTTTTACTATATTTTATTGATTTTTTACAGAGGAAGGAAGAGGGATAGAAAGTTAAAAACATCAATGAGAGAGAAACATTGATCAGCTGCCTCCTGCACACCCTCTACTTGGGATGTGCCCTCAACCAAGGAACATGCTCTTTACTGGAATCAAATCTGGGACCTTTCAGTCTGCAGGCTGACGCTCTATCCACTGAGCCAAACCGGTTAGGGCCTCTTGCTCCTGTCTTAACATTGTCTTCTTCCTCCTCAGATTTAACTACCATTCAGATAATAAAACCATAGATTAATGCAATCATATGTAATATACAGGTTTTTTGCTCATTATAATTTGTAAGTGTACTGGTGTCCTGATGCCACTGTACCAGATTACCACAGACTTAGTGATGTAAAACAACACAGATTTACTTGCAGTCCTGGAGATTAAAGGTCCAAAATCAGTTTTATTAGGCCAAAGTCAATGTGTAAAACCAGATTTGATTGCTGAATCTGGAGGTGGAAAATCTGTTTTCTTGCCTTTTTTCAGTTTATGGTGATTGCCTGTCTTCCTTGGCTGGTGGCCCCTTCCTCCATGTTCAAAGCCTCTGCTTTCAATATCATTTCTATAATCAAATCTTCCTGTCGCCACATTTAGGGCCCATCTGGATGATAATCTGCCCATTTCACAATCTAATTTAAATCATATCTGCAAAGTCTTCATTTTATTTTGCTAATCCTCACCCCAGGATATTCTTTCCATTGATTTTTTTTTTTTTTTTTTTTTAAGAGAGAGGGGAAGAGACAGAGAAACATCTATGAGAGAGACATTGATTGGCGCCCGCACTTCCTTTCCTCCCCCTTCCCATCTCTCCTCCCTTCCCCCACCTCCCCACACAAACACATGCACACCAGCTGGAGTCTTTAGTCTGCATGCTGAAACTACTGAGTCAAACAGTCTAGGATTGCAAAGTTGTTTTTTGCCATAAAAGATAACATTCACAGCTTCCAGGGATTAGGTCCTGGATATCTTTAGACACCATTATTCAATCTCAAGAGTGAGATTCATTTATATTGAAGCATATATTTGTTGTTCATTCATCTTAATTGCTGAATGGTATGCCATTAATTTATCCATATATCCAAAATTTATTCATTCTACCATTGGTAGGCACTTTAAGAATATCTAGTTCTGAACTAGTATAAATAATGCTGTGAGGAACATTGATGTCTTTTGGTGAGTATATATGCATTTCTATTGAAACATACCTGGAAGTGGAATTATTGGATCATGGGTATGCATATATTCAGGTGGGTTTTTTTAAATTTATTTTTTACAGAGAGGAAGGGAGAGGAATAGAGAGTTAGAAACAATGATGAGAGAAAAACATTAATCAGCTGCCTCCTGCACACCCCCTTCTGGGGATGTGCCTGCAAACAAGGTACATGCCCTTGACTGGAATTGAACCTGGGACCCTTCCGTCTGATGCTCTATCCACTGAGCCAAACCGGTTAGGGCCATATATTCAGTTTTAGTATGTACTTGTCGGTTTTCCAAAATGTATGTGAGAAGACACCATTTTAATGTGTACCATAATAATGAATTACTAATTGTTTAGTGGCCTAAGAATGTTTATGGATTTATCTACCAAAATTATACCAAATAATTTATACTTCATATAGCAGATATATATATTTTTTTAATTATTTTGCCCCTTCCCCCCCCTCCACACACACTTATCAGTAGGGTGGAGTTTAAAAAAATAGTAATATATTATAATAGTAAATAATAATAATAATGACTGCTCAATAATAAAATGTCCCCTATGGTCCCCTATTACACAGTTGGTCAAAGCTTTAAGAAAAAGGACACATCTCTCCTGCCCCTTTTTTGGAGGAAGGGCAAGGTCTGTACTTATTTAATACTAGAGGCCTGGTGCATGACACTTGTGCACTCGGGGAGGGGGTCATCCCTCGGCCTGGCCTGAGCCCTTTCACAGTCAGGAGCCCTCTGACACCCTTAGCGCTGCTGTGGAGACAGGAGAGGCTCCCGCCATCACTGCTGTGCTCGCAGCCATCAGCCCGGCTGTGGCTGAGCAGCGCTCCCCCATGGGAGCGCACTGACTATCAGGGGGCAGCTCCTGTGTTGAGTGTCTGCCTCCCCGGTGGTCAGTGCGCATCATAGCGACTAGTCGTTTCACTGTTTGGTCAGTTTGCATATTACCCTTTTATTATGTAGGATCATACAAGGGGCAATAAAAGCAAAGGTATTTGTTCTTGTTACTGACACCCTAGGTTATTATTGTTCCTCAGAAGAAATGCAAGTTTTAGATAATCATAAATAGTATATTGAATTTATACATAATATGTTTAGTTGTGGAAAGTTCATGATTTAAACTTTTAATTGAATTAAGATATTTTTGTTATAACTATTAATGTACATAGATACTTCCTTGTATCCAAATGGCCTTTATGAAGAATTATCCAAATTCAGATAGCATAGGCACTGCAT